GTATGTGTGCATGTGTGTATATATATATATATACCCATACCTACACACATTATATGCATTTGTCATGGTGTACTGAATTTCTCACATACACCTGTATTCAGGACTTCGGGCTTGGTCTGTGAGAGCTTATGTTCGACGCTTCTCGAGCATGTGGTACAATGCTGCCTCAAGGCCTACTTAATCACGTCTCCCCATGTGTCAAACCCTTCATCCTGCAACACTTGCCAACCCCCAAACCCTAAAACCATAAAACCAGAAAGCCTGAAGGACCTCTCCAGCCCTGCACCCAGCCTTGCAAAGTAGACTCAAAGACGCTCTGAGGTGAACCAAGCTCAAAATACAACATTCAACCGCATGTGGAGACAGGGTTTGCAAGGGTTCTATGAGGGCTTTACAAGGTTTGCAAGTTTTATTTGATGGGTTTAGGATCTTGGGACTGCGCAACCCGAAGCTTAAAGGACTCTCCGACTCTAGGTGCACCACCCGGGCTCGAAGTGCTGACCATTCTCCTCGAAGGCAGAGCTAAACAATGCCGCACTGTAGCCCTCCACAATGGGGTGTTTACAGGCGGATTGAGTTGCTGCGCGGTTCGCACTGTTAGTTTCGACCGAAAACGCTTTCGGCGGCAGTCCCGAGCAGGTGTCTGCTAAGGGAGGCCCGCGTCGTGCAAGACTTCAGTGCTCTGCCATTTGTCGAACATTGTGCTCTCGCAATGGAATGTGCGTTTTGAATTGGAGACACTGCTCCAGCCAATCCACGCATTTCCACGCGCGTTCGTTGCTTCAGGTCGCTCGACGGCTCCGAGCAGAACACAAGGTTTCAGTGAGGCGATCAGAAAGCCAGCAGCACGATAGCAGGAGCGTGACTCGCCAACAATCTCAAGATTCAAGCCTCCAACCCGGAAACCGTGACACAAGAACGACATGCAACTGGCACTCATTTTGGGCTGAAGAACTCTAGGCGCTGCCAAGACTTGAGAGCCTTGAGCGATGGTAAATCCAATGCACGAGCAGAGCGGTATCGGGAGCACGACTTTCACCCCAAACTGGGCACGGCACTGCGGCCAAAGCTCGGTTTTGCGAAGTGGGGTTTCGCGCGAATACAGGAGCCTTCAGAATTAGAATGGGTTTTGGCCTTCTTTATAATGTAGCTATAACACTAAGGAACCCTAAGGAATCATGTTGGTACTTATTTAGGCTTCTTTCTCAGACTTTCCGATGAAAAACACCGTGGTCTACTCACAAGTCAACTCAACCCGAAACCCGAGACCTGGACCCGAGACCCTAAGCCCCAAACGGGCCCTAACGGGATCCCTAAACCCTACAGTAAGCCCTAAACGGCCCTAAGCCCTTCCCTGATCCCTAAAGCCCTAAAACCCTAGAACCCTAAACCCTAGAACCCTAAAACCCTGAAACCCTAAAGCCCTAAAACCCTAAAACGCCAAACCAATAAGCCTAGACCTGAAGCCTGCAAACCCCTTGACACTTCAAATCAGAATCCCCCCGGGTTGCAGCGCTCGATGAATCCGCCCATGCTGCTAGTCGGTTTTAGGGTTTCGGGTGTCTGTTTGGGGTTTAGGGTTTAGGGTTTAGGGCTTTAGGGTTCAAGGTATTTGTTTGGGGTTTCGGGCTCCATCACTGTCACAGCTCATATTGCAGATTGACACATTGCCGCTGCGATTAGCAATACTACAGCCTCCGTGAGTCGACACTTCTGTGGCTCAGAGCAGTTGCGGACATGGCTCCTTTGCATCCACCGGCAGGTACTCGATTTGCACCTGCATTGCAGTGTCGGAAAGTTGGGAAAATCAGAACCGTGACCCCCACACTGCTTCGTGCCTGGTAGCTCTCTTGACGTCCCCACACTGAACACTCTTGCCGTTGCGACTTACTGGTCGTCGTGGTGATGGTTGGCCATCGAAACTGCTTTGCCACTCTGACACTCAAAGGAAATGAGCTGAGCACCCAAACCCCCAGACTTCGAAGTGTCCAACCTGCGACCTGGTTTTCGCTGCTTGCACTATTTACGTGATCCTCGAAGTAGCATAGATCTTGCTCAGGATCCCATTGCAACTTCGTGGCCGCTACAGACAAGTGCTTGACCAGCGTCCGCACGGTAAGACAAAGCAGCTTGTTTGTAGGCATGATGGTGAAACCGGCGAGTACAAGAACAACAAAAACTGAAAAGCAGCTCTTGACGTATAGCAACAGCACCAAAGAACAAAAAACCTTAAACAATAGATACGCTAAACCCTCAGAAAACACTCAGAAAATTAGGGTTCCACCTGCTCCATGAGCTCCTGCATACACTCCACCCATTTGTTCTGGTACCTGACGGAAACGTCATTAATTTAGTTTTTAGGGTTCGGGGTTTCTGTTTTGTTGAACTCCTTTGTGCATCTGCTCGATGTTTCAAGCCAACCCAAGGCTTAGAGTTCGGTTTAGGGTGTAGGCTTGAGGGGTTAGGCTTTTTAAAGTTTAGGGTTTTGCAGGGTTTAAACGGGGCTTGGGGCTCGGGACTTGGGATGTCTAGTTGTAGAGCTGCGGGGGGTGCATTTTAGGGTTTGGGTTGAGGGGCCTGGTTTCTACGGTTAGGGCCTAGGGGTTTAAGAGTTTAGGGAATCAGGGTTTAGGGGTGTTTTAGGGTTTGGGGGGAGGGGTACAGGGGCTTTCAGGTCGGGCTTAGACATTCGGGCTCAAGTCAGGAAGAGCTCACGCAACCGCGGGAGCACGTCGCATGCGACATGATGTCGACCTCAGCAGGCATCAAGAACCCTGGGTGGGAAGATTACGATGTGAAAAGCTCCGAAAAGAACGGGACCCCAATATACTGTCATGACATGAGCACATGACCCCGATCTGCACTTGAGGGACTTTATGGACCAACCATGTGGCACATGTGAGAGGTGCTCACAATTGAGGCACTCGCGAATGCAGATTCCAATTGGCGCGAACTTGGCTCTGCCGCAGCAGCAGAGCCTATATTTCCTTGTACGTCTAGTATTGTGCACAATCCAAGTAAGTTATTGTTACTCATGCGACAGTGTGCACACCCGAGTATCAGCAATTGGCCGTGCTAGCTGCAGGTTTCACGCCGATGTCGATTGAAACAAGTCTGGATTCCCACTGTCTTTCGCCACAACAGATGTCCATGCTATTGAGCAAAGCAGGACGAGCCGCGACGGCAGCGATACAGACTGCTGCTTCGTGTTTATTCATTGAGAACCGTGCACATGACAGCAGCGGCACGGGCCTCCCTGATGGAAAGTGAAAGGCAAACGACGGATGCTTGATTCAGTTCATCCCTGGTATCATTCCCACGAAAACTGCTTGCACTTCGCACTTGGTGGCACCTGAAAGCGAGACACCGATAAAAGGCTGACACCTCGCTTGACCACCGGTGCATCAATCGCTTCAGCTCACAGCCGGGGGCACGAGAAGATCAGTGCGTCGCGACCCTCACGACTGACAGCCGGCGCGACATCCGCAGCAGCATTCTGCAGGAGCGGCAGGAGATCTCCCTTTCTGGTCCTGTCATTCTTGCACAGAGTAGCCGCGGCCTTTATGATTTTGAGGCGAGTCCTAATCTTACCACTTGCGGCTGCGCGTTTAAGAATGGGCAGCACTGCACCGAAGTGTTGATCTGCGAGACCTTCCAAGACCATCACAGCTGTAGCAACGGCACGCTCATCTGCGATACCGCTTTCCAGGATCAAATTCGTCTTTGGGCCATGCCAGACGGATTCAGCGTCTCCACTCAGGACCTTCTTCACGGTCTCTAGCGCCAGATATATATCAGACCTCGTCCCCAAGTGAACCAAAGTCTGCGCCACTGTCCCACGCACCTCCCGGCTATCGTCGCTCATGGCCATCCAGAGACAAGTCATTACCGACTGAATGTCGGAGGACTGTCGAGAGATGGCGGCCAAGGCCTGAACAGCTTTCAAGCGAATCCTGGGTTGCTGTTAAGAAACTTAAAGTAACTTTGCCATCATAAGGAAACTTTACAGCTACAAGAATAAAGAAACCGCCTTTGTCTACATACATATATATATATATATATTTATTTATTTATTTATTTATTTATTTACCCCCATTATGGTAACTTGAACCAGGTTCCTTTGCTGCATCCCAGAGTCTCGTCACGAGGTGCGGTCAGGAGTAGTCTGAGAGTTGGAAGATCAGGATCGACGGTCCAATCCCCATCGCTCAAGAAATCCCAGGCCTTCGAAACCAATTCCAATTCGTTGACACGATGATCCCATGAATAGAACTTCCTCGTCACATTGAAGAAGTCTTCCAGTATACGACTCGGAAGCATGCGCACCAAATCGGGGAAAACCACAGCCACTTGAGGCCCGCGCTCTTGCAGAGTACTGACAACACCCTTGATCCGCTGTGCTCCGTTGAGCCTGGGTTCGAGGGTTCGAGGGTTTATAGTGGTGCAGACTTTAGGGTTTAGGCGTGTTGCAACGAACTTAGCTCAAGCTACGATCAAAGAGACATGCAGCAAAAGTCAGCAAACGCTCTACGACCTCCGTGCTGTGGCAACTTAAACTCCAGCGAGCCATCGAAAGCCTAAGAATCCGTGAACCCTGAACCCTTAAGCCCTAAACCCCTAAACCCCCAAACCTCCTAGACCCCTTCATGTTCATAGTCTCACGTTCTTTCCATTTTCATACACACAATTCCTGATACGGCCCTATACCCTGACCCAAACAAGGACCCAGTCGCTCCGAGAGGTCGGTCCAAGCGACTTGGCCTTTTGAGAGGCACTCAAGAAACAGCGGCCGCGTCAGGGCCTCAGGGGGGGGTGTTGAAGGGCGTTTTCCGGGTGTAGGGTTTAGGGTTCCTTGAAGGGTTACTAGAAAGGCTCCTATGAGGCTTTCTTTAAGGGCTACTACAAAGGGTTCCGTTAAAGGGAACCCTGAAAGGGGAACCCTGTCGTAGAGCCCCGGAGATTCTCTGAAGGGAATCCTATTCTAGAACCCTATTTTAGGGTTTAAGGTTTGGGGTTTTGAGTTCCCTCTCCGAAGGTTTCTACAAGGTCTTGGGGGGGAGTTGAGGGTTTAGGGGTTTGAGGTGGTTGAAGGGCTTGGCGCATCAGCATGGGGAGGAGGTGGAAGGCGAGGAAGGGGAAGCAGGAGGCGGCGAAAAAGAGCACTAGGAACAAGAAGACAGGCAAGAGTTCTCCTGGCAAGAAGCACAAGAAGCAGGAAGCCCAGAGAAACTCCCAGGCCTGGTTGGTGACTTTGCACTCCGGGTCAAGATCGGACCAAGGTTTCGGAAACTGCGAAGCCTGGGAATCCAGAGCTCTGGCCTGGCTCTCAGGAAGCTCTGGGATGTCCACGCAAGCGAAGCTCTGAACCGACTTCCAATTCACGGCTGAGCCCACCTCCTCGATTCTGGCACGGATTAGGGGCATGACGTGGCGACACTTCACGCTCTCATGGGCGTTCAGGATCCTCATCCCCTGTTTGGGGGGATGTCTCGCCAGGCCCACCAACTCGAACCGGAAAAAGGCACTCTTCGTCAGTGTCTGCTCTCCCCCAACCAGGGCTTTGTTCAGAAGCACCCGAACACCCAGCTCCTGCGAACTTCTTTGAACCACCGCCTCGGAGGCCGACCGCCAGAATGGGGCCACTCGCTCCCACCCACAACTCCCAAAGAGTCTGCCTTTCGAGTCCTTCACGCCCTCCATCTCCAGAAGGGATCCAAAGGGAGTTCGAAATGCATCACCCAGGATGTCGTCGTGCAACCTGAGTAGCCAGAGCAGCTCTCGGTTCTCTTGGCCTTCTCATCTATGAATACCTACACAGCGCCGCAAAATTGCTGGGTCTCTGAAAAAATCGTCACTAGAACGTCTCTAGGACAGTGACTGATGTCAAGAAACATGTACAAGCCCAGCTCCTCACACCAAAACTGTCTTGAATGTACACCAGCCCCGCTCCAGAGCAAGAGCCCCTTCTCCCTGAAGGACGCGCGAGCAAACAGAAAGCCAGATGAGGCATCCGGCTGGCCAGCCCACAAGGCAGCGGAGATGCTTGTCGCCATCTCGGTGGCGCGCACATCCGAGATATAGGTCAGCCAGGCGTAGGAGCCGTTCTGAATATCTGGCCGGATTTGCTCGCAAAACTCCTGGCACCGGCTGCGGCTTTTGAAACCGTGTCTCCAAGAGTTACTAGATGAGGTATTAGAAAGCGTACTCTGTGGGCTCTATGGCATATGGGGTTGTTATAACAGTACTGTGGGGATACAGACATGAAGTTCCTGTGGGTCAAACATGTAACAACAGGCCCGCCATCCACAACCCTAAACCCTAAACCCTTAAGCCTAAACCCTAAGCCCTAAATTAAATATCTCGCTACATCCCCCTACCATTCAATGCACCCGCTGCATCACTCCTACAATAACCTTTTACGTCCGCCACCAGCACCACTCCTACTTGTTACTAGTTGTAGTAGGAGTCGTCGTTGTTGCTTTTGCTGTAGGGGGAGGAGGAGGAGGAGGAGGAGGAGGAGGAAGAGGAGGAGGAAGTGCTGGTGGTGGTGGTGGTGGAGGAGGAGAGGAGAAGGGGTCAAAGTCGAAGTCGGAGTAGGAGTACGAGTAGGACTAGGATTAGGCATGAGCAGGAGCAGAAGCAGCAAGAGTAGCAGCAGCACTTGCAGTGGTACGTAGAAACATAATCTCAGGGAAAGATGATAACAACATATAGTATACGAAGACCATACGTCATAGAAGTACTGAAGTAGTCAACTAGCACATGTACATAAACTTTGTCACGAACAATGCCAACCATGGCACTAGTTGCAAGTGTGACTCCTTGACGTGCCGGTCAAAGCTCGCAATTTGACTCTGACAGACCTCTTCGTCCGGCAAGTCCTCCAAGACTTGTAACTCTTTTGTGGCGCTTGGGATTTAGGCATTGCGGCTTGGGCTACCAAGTTTTGGCGTTTACGGTGGTAGGTAGGTTTCGTATCGAGGGTTACCTACAGTCGAAACGAGGCTTTGGCATCCGGTCTGCCAGCAAAGTGCACCCGTCCGATCCTGTTTGTCTGTCACCTTCAAAAGTGCCCGGCTCTTGGCAGTTGCCAAAACGGACTTGGACAAGGCAACCGGCTGCAATGCTCCTGCAAGGCTCACATGCAAACGCTTCAATCATGTTCTGTGCATCATGACCGTACGATTGGCCTGTTTTGTCTTGATCGGAATGCAGTTGGCACTGTCCTGTGGAATGTTGCTGCTGCTGGGCCAAACGTCCGGCTGCCACAACGGTGCAACCCAGCGCGAAGATGGCCAAGATTGCTGGAGCCACCATGTCGTCATGTCGGTTTTCTCGAACAACAAGCAACTGTAAAGCACTGCTGAGCCCAGGCGCGGCGAAAAGATCGGTTCGCAAAATTAGGTCAACATGCTCAGGATGTACATCGTTAGCCGCACTGAGATTGCAAACGTGCAGACAAATGACATTGATGTTCAGCGACAACCTCTGATGTCGTTGGGGTCGACGCTAGCCGCTAGCACATCGTTGAAATGTCAACCGGTCAGCAATCTAAAACCGTACGGAAAGCCAGTTCTCATCAAGCTGGCCGGTCTACTCCTCTGGTTCGTGACGCAACAGACGCTTTCTTGTCACCAAGCCCACCCATGACATCGTAGCAGACAACATGTGGCAAAAATCTGAATTGGCGTCTGTTTATCGGATACTCAACTGAAAAACGGATATGCAATATGTATCTTGCCATTTGCTGACAAGCCTTGCTGGCTTGCAGAGAATGGCAAACGACCCACAGTTGCCACAGGGTATTTGGGCATGAAAACCACTTGTTTCAATAACGAGAAGGAACTCACGCAGTATCTTCCAACTTTGCACCAAACCAGTGAAAACAAAACACCTCCGAGAATAAAAACAAAAACGGCTCTGGCGGAAATCAGCCACAAAAGACGTTGAATTAAGGTCGCAGATCGCTTGTGGCTTCCCAAATGTCCAAACTTTCAAACCAACGCATGTCACCCAAGCCATTGAACAACTATCCAAATCCAAACATCCTAGACCTTGGGTCAAAAAGAGAAAACAGTAGTGCAACGTCGAGACAAAGCCTTTTGCTTCTGAAAACAAGTCTCGTCAGAGACGCCATGATCGAGGACACCTGGACACAGACGAGTGGCATGGATTTCGACAGTGCGCTTTTGTACATCTAGTGCCCACCGAGCTCTGATGGTCGATGCACTGCATGGTTTTTGCAGCCTGTTTGTGTGGCTTGCTCCACACGAAGCGCGTGCGGACACTGTACACAAAACCGACAGTCACAATAGGCAGGCTTCATTCGTCAGAAAACGGTTGTGCACCGACCACATACTGTCGCCATCACCGCCGAAATGCAGCGATGACACGCTGCTTTCATGCAAGCCAAGGATACTGTGTTCAAAAGGCCCCTGGCAGGAGCGTCCAAAACTGAATGGAGGCATTCCTCCAAAGATTCGACCCCCTCACAGATGCAAGAGAACTGCGCACAGTGTACAAATTTTACAACCAAATTCAGTACCCATGCGCGGGTATTCCTTTCTGAAAGCAGGCGACTGGTTTTGACGGACATCCTGAAGCGTCGTTCTCCGCCATGCCGTGCCCTGGCGCCCGCCCTCCTTTGGCCGATAGAGCAGCAAGTATGCCTGAAATAACGCCCGGACTAGTGCCGCCGAAACGAACCGTTCATTGTGCTTACGTGATTTCCGCAATGAACCGTGGAAGCAAAATGCAACTCCTGTTGAATGAAATTGTCTCGATGGAGTGACTCACAGTTTTTGACGGTTTGGCGGGCTCATTAACGAGCCCGAAAAGACACGTAGAAAACGTGCCCTTGCACAAAGAGCCTTCTCAGTTGCTGCAGGGTGCAAGAACCAGCGTGCACGTTCAGCGAGCTGCAACCGCTCTGCTCTTTTTGGCTGCAGTTTAATATGACCGATGCAACATAAGTTAGCTGACTGCATCTAGCACTGTTTTTTCGATCCGCATCCAGATTTCGCGGCTCCAACAGCGAGCTCCAAAGTATAGGTTGTGGCGGTACCCTGCCTCCAAAACACAGGCCAAAATTAGGAGCCTGTGGAAAGTGGCCAATACTAAACGGCCCCGGAAAAGGTCCAAAATCCGGACCCGATTTTGGCCCCACAATTTAGCCTAGTGCATTGGTGGACGCTCCGTCAAGAGTGACTGTTTCGACCCCCTTCTTGAGAACTCTGAGAAAGCTGACTTCAACTTCGACGATTTCCTCGAATCTTACTAGAAGGGGTATGGCTGGAAACGTTTCAGTTCCAGTAAAGTCGAGCAAGAGAGGCTTACCGTTACGTCATCTGAGATCCTTTGATGCTCTTCATTGCTTGTCTCAAATTTTCGCCGATCCATTGATGCAGATAATGCGGGTGAGGGACGAGTTAGCGTTTTATTCTGTGAGGTGGAAAATCGATTTCGCATTTGGCGAACCATCTCGCTTTATTTTCCCGGCATGCTTTGGATTTGGCGGTTTTGCCTGTCTGACATGTCAACTGCTTTTACTTTTGCAGTCATGCTCAATCGCGTTCAGTCATGTCAGTGAAGCTTGAGTGACAGTCGAACATCTGGGGAGGCCCGTTGTGGTGCACACGTTTTCGA